GACCTATTTACTTTCGCCGTTTTAACTCAATATTGATATGCAAAATGTAATTTAAAAGACATTAATGAATATATTTTCATGATTAAGTGCAAATACGCCGAAAAGTAATTTTAGAGTGGTTATGGACATTAGCATAATCAATCGGAAAATATTGTTTGTTAGCCTGACTTGATGGTTGAATAATGAAAAAAAAAAAATGAAAAAAATTATGTATTAAACATTTAAACATTAAATTGATCAAAAGTGACAGAAAAGATATTTATAATGAAACAAAATATTTATATTTTAAATAAATGCTGTTCTTATGAACTTTCTATTCATCAAATAATCCTGAAAAAAATGTATCACGGTTTCCACAAAAATATATAGCGACTGTTTTCAACATTGATAATAATAAGAAATGTTGCTTGAGCACCAAATCGTCATATTATAATTATTTCTGAAGGATCATGTGACACTGAAGACTGGAGTAATGAAGCTGAAAATTCAGCTTTAACATCACAGGAACAAATTACATTTTATAGTATCTTAAAGTAGAAAACTCAGGGGTGTTTCCTCCGAGGAGGCAAGGGAGGCAGAGGCTCCTAAAAAACGGATGAGAAAATATTATATGCATATATATTACAACACAAATATTACAAAATGGGACATTAAAATGTGACATCTTCGTGTCTGTGACAGACAGTGTTTACAGGCTTGATGGCTGATTATCTGAAAACAAGTTGACCAATAAAAAGAACAACTGGACATCATTTCACAAATAAAATGTGTTGTTTAATTATTACTGCCTTTAGACAGTATTTTGCAATAAATGTAAAACTGCTTAAAGAAACTAACTTGATGAGATTTATACTTGGTTTTAATAAACAGAACTTTAAAAGCATTGGTAATGTAAAAATACTAAATAGAAATGTGTTTGATTTATATGATGTTTATTTAACCAGGACAATGTGACAACATTAAGTGTAATTGGGACATGAATTTACATTTTATTTTATATAAAACAAATTTATTTTTAAACTGTTAGGACTTTGCCTCCTCATTGCAGAACACCTCTGCACGCCACTGCTTAAACTGTAATATTTCTCTCAATGCTCGGTGAGCACAAGAGACATCGGTAACACTTTACAATAAGGTTCCATTAGTTAACATTAGTTAATGCATTAGTTAACATGAACTAACCATGAACAACATCTCTGTTCAGCATTAGTTAATATTTGTTAATGTTAACTCACACATGTACTAATGCATCAACTCACATTAACAGCACGGTTAGTTAACATTAATTAACACATTAGTTAACATGAACTAACCATGAACAGTGCCTGTAAATAGCTTTACTGTTTTGTAAGGTTAACTTACTGTACATATTTACATTAGTTTACGTAGCAGTTGACACACACCAAGTATGAACATTTCTAACTCACCATGTTACCCTAAATGTAAAAATACTGTTGTGTACCTTATCAACACTCTTTCATATATATATATATGGCATTGATTTGTTGGTAAACATAATTCTACAGCCGAAAAATATGTTGTTCATGTTTATACGCACTTTACTATCATTACTTGCATTCAAATAAGTATTTTTTAATGCATTGAGTGAAAAGTGTACACTATTTCAACATTAACTGATGTGTTACTTATATTTGTAGACTCTTCATTGACATGACTTACCATTAATATAGCATTTATTAATGGAATTTATAAACCTTATTGTAAAGTGTACACTATTTCAACATTAACTGATGTGTTATTAACATTAGTTTTCCGCTGTAGAATTATGTTTACCAACAAATCAATGCCTTATATATATATATATATATATATATATATATATATATATATATATATATATATATATATATATATATATAAAAGAGTGTTGATAAGGTACACAACAGTATTTTTACATTTAGGGTAACATGGTGAGTTAGAAATGTTCATACTTGGTGTGTGTCAACTGCTACGTAAACTAATGTAAATATGTACAGTAAGTTAACCTTACAAAAGAGTAAAGCTATTTACAGGCACTGTTCATGGTTAGTTCATGTTAACTAATGCATAATGTTAACTAACCGTGCTGTTAATGTGAATTGATGCATTAGTACATGTGTGAGTTAACGTTAACAAATATTAACTAATGCTGAACAGAGATGTTGTTCATTCATGTTAACTAATGCATTAACTAATGGAACCTTATTGTAGACGTCTTTATAAAACATTAAAAATCTTACTGACCCCAAACTTTTGAGCAGTAGTGTACATTTAGGGTCATACTGTATCTAAACGTCTCACCCACATGAGCAGAACAGTGTCAGGAACACATGATTCAAACGCTGTGCTACGTCTCTGTCACTAACTTCTACACTATCTTCACTCTTCTTACCCTTCATGAATGACATGGTTCTCGAATGAAATTTCACTGCTTTACTTCTTGAGTGTAACCTTGTTTAACACAACAAGGCCAAGCCAACCCCTGGTCCCAGTGTGGCCCCGGTCAGCACTCCTCAAGTAAACACTTTATTGGTTTTGTGGCCGCAGAGCCTTGAATTTGAGCAAGCCAGAGGTTTGCATGTTTTCCCTGCTTTGTTCAGCGAGACGTCTTGAGTTCCCTGCAGATGGCCCTTCTCTCATAACGTTCTTTCTCCCAAGCGTTCGTAGAGACGGCTCTTTAGAGGAGCAGCACCTGCATGACGCTTCGCTGTGCTCCGCTGCACTTTCAGCAGAAAGCTCAATCACTCAGCCAGCCTGTTAACATACACTCCCCATTGCCTCTCAAGTGTTGTTGCAGAAAAAACATGGGTGTGCACTACAGATTTCACTCTCTCTCGCCCTCTTTTTCAGAGCCGACAGCTATCTATAAGTGCCCGGTTTGTTTTCTTTCCACAAAATCCCTTTCTTCAATCTCAGAGAATGGCCAGAGACCAATGGAAAAAATCAAGCCTGCATTTTGTATTGTGATAACAGCCGAAAATCAACAAAGAGCTTTTCACTTCCATCAACATTCAGAAATGACTCTCCCTGTCCACTGTTAAAGCAACAGCTGTCAGGCCACTGAATTATAATGTGGTGAAATAAAAGCCAACCAGACTTTTTTTTCAGCAATTAAGATACATAAACATATCTTACCAGGCACGTCGGAGTGTTTGTGTGAAACACACGGGCTATAAAAAGAGCATACGACATCTGCTACAACTGCTTTTCTGACTTTCATTAGGAGGCTATCAAATAAAGTGTGACTGTTTGACTCGACGCGAGGCATATTGATCTAAACATCCGGAAGACAACTGGGACACAGATCGGGAATCCGTCAGCACCATGGCAACACTGTGACATGCCACGGGACGATGTTAGTAAATCAGCGCTGTCTGCGGGCTGAAGTTTATTGAATTAGACTTCCTATCTTGTAAAATTTCATTTGAATCATTATTTACGGAGGAAACTTCACTGCGATTGTTTTTCATCACAAATATCTTTTGGCAAATGGCTTGAAAGACAGTGTTTAATATGTTTTGCCTCAGCTAAATTAAGGGAAGTTGTATTTCAGCAATTAGATACAGAGGCCTTGCTAGCTAATGAATAGCCTACAGTAGTGACCATATTCACAATACAGTACAGCCTCGAATGACTTATTATTTTAATAAATGGTTTCTACATATTAAAAATATCAAGAACACCCATGCAAAATCTTTCAGTGCAGTCCCTGACAAAATAGAGTGTTGCAATGCAACAAAAAAAATAATCTGCTAAATAATACGAGCTTTGATATGGTGATCAGCTTGTTTCACATAACTGTTACTATATCATGTCTTGGACTTCGTATTGACCAATCACAAGCCAGGACCAGAACTACGCATTTTATATTGTATTGACCAGTCAGCATCCAGGACCAGAACTATCTGTTTTATAATATTTCTTATAGGGCTGTCAAACGATTAATCACATCCAAAATAAAAGTTTGTGTTTACATAGTATATGTGTGTGTACTGTATATAATTATTTTGTATATAAATGCACACATGTATATATTTAAGAAAAATATGTTATTTTTATATAAAATGTTTATATTTATATCAAATATACATTATATATAGGCTACATTCAGTCTATATACAGTATATACATGCAAATATTTCTTAAATACACATGCATGTGTGGGTATTTATGTATTAAAAATAATTATACACAGTACACACACATATACTATGTAAACACAAACTTTTATTTTGGATGCGATTAATCGCGATTAATCGTTTGACAGCCCTAATTTCTTATTGACCAAGCAGCATCCAGGACCAGAAATATCCATTTTATAATATTTTTTATTGACCAACAGCTAAACTATACGTTTTCTATTTTGTTGTATTGATCAATCAGCATCCAGGACCAGAACTATGCGTTTTATGTGATGTCATATTAACCAAATTTTTTTTTTATATATATATATATATATATATATATATATATATATATATATATATATATAAAAGAACTTGGCACACTTGCCAAATGAAACTGGATATTTTAAGGTGATAATTCGCTATAGTTATCATATTTTCCTGCACATTTGTATTATTTGCATGAAATAACAAGCATGAGTGAGGTGAAAAGAGAGAGAGGGAGATAGAGTTGTGTGTGTGTGCTTTCTGTGTGTTAGTCAGCCACTTAGCCTGTGGTAATTACTATCTCAGCATGTTAAATGATCACTATAGATGCACACAAGTGCTACTGCAGCCCACCGGACATGACAAAAATGGGCTTCTCTAACTACTTCCCCTGTTCTCAGTAGGAGTCGAATCAAGCAGGCGAAGATATTTACTGATGAATAGCCATAGGACCGCACAGCTGCTTCTCTGGGGTGAAGAAGATGCATCTGCGACTATTGGATTGTCACAGCGGAGAGTGTTTTCCAGAACGAGCTAAACTGAGCCTTAAGTGACATGGATTCGACCTGTTGTGCATGAGCTCTGATGGTGAGGAACAGGTTTACTTACGCAGGTTGTTTCCTGTTGCTCTGGCCTGCATGTTCTCGTAGTGTTGTCCATGCACTGCCAAACTCTCCTCCCTCTCCACGTGTTCTCCTGGAGCTGTCTGGCGCATCACCTGGGCCAGGGCTCTATGGAGAAAAGCTTTGTTTACTCATCTTACAAAGAAAACTGTAAATTGATGTCGAGCAATTCAATAGATATTTATACTGTTCTTGACAGACATTTCCTCATCAAAAAGTTTGTTCTGTAAATTTGAAATAAATGTTGACAAAGAGGGATTACAACGATCAGTTATGTTAGACCGAAATGATAGTGTGGTACATTAAACACACCATAAAATAACTTGCAGCCGCTTTCTTTCCTGTGTTGACGCATTTCCTTTTGAAAAAGGAAAACAGTTTTTTTTTTAATAGCCAATAATAAGTTTTAGTTTCAGATTCCATGAATCTGATTTGCTACATCCCGACAGGTTGTATTAGTGGGAGGGACGTTCTCATTCTGGAGAGCATCTGATTGGATAAAAATTTAGATACGCCCCTTTGTGCAAGATGAGTCATGAATATTTTTAAAGGGATGGTTCACCCAAAAATGAAAATTCTGTCACTTATTACTCACCCTCATGTTGTTCCAAAACCATAAGACTTTCGTTCATCTTTGGAACACAAATGAAGATCTTTTTGATGAAATCTGAGAGCTTTCTGTCCTCTCCACCACACAAATGTGCTGCGTAACACACAAGAATGAACCTCATTGGTTCTTGCTGAAGCTCAAATGTGCTGCGTAACACGAGAATGAACCTCATTGGTTCTTGCAGAAGCTCAAACGTGCTGCGTAACACGAGAATGAACCTCATTGGTTCTTGCTTAAGCTCAAACGTGCTGCGTAACACGAGAATGAACCTCATTGGTTCTTGCAGAAGCTCAAACGTGCTGCGTAACACATGAGAATGAACCTCATTGGTTCTTGCAGAAGCTCAAACGTGCTGCGTAACACTAGAATGAACCTCATTGGTTCTTGCTGAAGCTCAAACGTGCTGCGTAACACGAGAATGAACCTCATTGGTTCTTGCAGAAGCTCAAACGTGCTGCGTAACACTAGAATGAACCTCATTGGTTCTTGCAAAAGCTCAAACGTGCTGCGTAACACGAGAATGAACCTCATTGGTTCTTACAGAAGTTCAAACGTGCTGCGTAACAGAAAAATGAACCTCACTGGTTCTTGTTTGAGGTCAAATGTGCTGCGTATTTTTATTTTTGGGTGAACTATCCCTTTAAGTCTGTGTTCCCAGAAAATAAATGTTTAAGTTGTGTATATCTGCTAAAAGACAGCTTTACTCAGCGTTTAAGAGTAGCATATGCTTGACCTAACAGACATGATCTAAAAGCTACGAAATTCCCATTTGGGTTTCCTGGTGTCTTTAAACAACATCATGCACATAAAACTGATAGATTAATTCACATGATGCTTTGAAATGGTAAAAAAAAAAAAAAAAAAATGTTTTAATAATAATAATAACTTTTTGCGGAGATACATTAAACCATCATGAAATTCATTAAAATGGTGCACAAGTCAGCACGGTGACATATTCAAAACGCACTCAATTCAAATGGTGTAGATGCCTGGTTGTGGGAGGTGGATAGGATACTATGGCCCATGTGAGTTTTTATTGTGTTCATGCCTAAATAGAGTGAAAGATAGAATGAAAGGTCAGTGCACGAATAGAATGTCCTTGAAATATTAGCATCATTAGACACAGATCAGTGTCCATTATCCTACTAATGTCACGGACACCTCTCTACTGATGTTTAGATGAGTAAGCGCATATGTGTGTGTGTGTTTGTTTGTTTGGAGTAGACGCTTTTTCAGACAAAATCTGTGCCTCACCATGGAGATAATTAGAGACTTACAGAGATGTTGATGAATGTTTGCTGATCAACAGATGAATTAGACCTGAATGCTAGTCAGTATATTTTGTAGTACATCTGCTTTCAGCTCTCTCTGATTATCAACACTTTATACTGTGTCTTCAGGGGAAAGCATGTCTGGTCTTTAGTTTTTAATAAAAAACAAAATTCTTGATTTAAAAGAAATTTACTTTGTACGTTCCACCACTTAAATATGCCTATTAAACCTTGAACCTCAAACAAATGCCTGTCTGTGAAACTATTCTGCACTTCTGTACATGTCAGTGTTGCAGACTGCGTGAAGGATAAATAGATAGACAGGACAATGAAGCCAGTAGAAGTTGAAGAAAAACTAGCACAAGGTCATGGTGAGAGATAGAGTTGTGTCAGTGTAATCCTTGAAAGCCTTGAGCTATGCCGAATGACATCCCAGAGGAAAACTGTCATGCTTAGACGTTTGCTCATTGAAGGCATAAGCATTACATTTCATTTTTGATATCAACTTATACACAAAATAAATAAATCTCATTAGGACAAAATAAAAATCATACACAACTGAGGTAATTGTTGATTTACAGTCTGATTGTTGAGCTAATTAAATTAATTCAAATAGCAAAGCTCTGATAATTTAGGAAGAGTGTGATAAATATTTGAGTTCTTAATGAAACCTGTATGCTCTAAGAGAAAATGTATGAAAAGCTGTCACTATGTGCTTCTTTAGACCCTTTGTACCTTCTTTAGAACAAATGTAGGACATTTGATTGCAGATTTTGGAACAGTTTGTGATTGTGTCAGATCTCTTCTGAAACTCTTAAGTAGAAACAAGAAAGCGACTTATGTAAACAACTCTCAATTTTCTCTCTGTTTAATTGCATTGTTGTCTACAAGAAACAGTTGAGGTATACAATCTCATTCGCATTTTTCTTTCCCATGGAATAAACTGTTCCACTCCACAACAACACAAGCAATTTACAACTTCTTAAGGACAAGACACGAATGCATACAGTCAGTGTAAAGCTGTAAAATGTAGATTGCATGGTTATTTGGTTAAATCCCATTTGATTTCCTTTCTTTCCTATGGGATAAACTATACAGATTACAATTTACAACAGTTTATAAAAATTACAAAGGATAACTAAAAATGATTATTGATGCAGTCAGAGTGTATTCATATGTAAAAGACAGCTCAGGCCTAATTTGCTTTTGAGAGAATTTTAATTTTTTGTTTGAAATCCCATTTGATTTTCTCCGTCTCTAAACTGCGCAGCTCCACCACAACCACGCAGACAATATGCAACAGCGTTTGAACTTGTATCTCTCTTACCTGGACATGTTCTCTCTGTGAGGTCGATGCGCCTTCTCCAAGCCAAGTTTGGTGAATATCCCAACCAGCGCCATGATAGCAACTACTCCGCATATGATATACACAATCAAATTCGTTTTATCCTTAGTCGGATCGTGTTGGTCCATCATCTTCGGCGGTGGTCTGCCCGTCATGGACCACGGCGGGGTGTCGTAGTTTTTGCAAGTGGTCTGATCTAACCTGGAGTTTTTAAACTCGCAGCAGAACCTGAAGCCACAGGTCCCGCAGCAGTACAGGTAACTACCCGTCCGACACACGAACGGAGGATCCCACTGACCCATCACATCATAATAGCCCCGACATCTGTCCTCCGTATGAGGGGTCTCAGAGAGACCGTGTTCCCCGTCTCTAGAGTCGTTAGACCCTGACGCTGTCACCAGACCATCCAGGTTCTTCCCAGGTTCTCCTTCCGCGTCGCACACAAGAACTTTCATCAAAAAGTAACCCAGTAGTAAGCCAGTGCTTTTCATCCTGCGCTCTTCTCTTCTCTCCTCTTCTTTGCCACGGCTGAACGGACGCTGAAAGACAGAGTTGGGTGTCTTTTGTCATGAAGTGTCAGGACGCATATCTCCATCAAAAACATCACCGCCATCCGAGATGATCATGTTTGATGATACTTCAGCCCCACGGTTAGTCTATAGAGGTTTTGAAGTATGCAAATGATTGAATATGGAGATTTCTATCGTATTAAGTGTGGCATTGCAATAAACACTAGCTATACTGTGTTTTGTCTACTATTATATCTTATCCTAAACAACGGCGTTCTTGAGCACTCGGGAGCGTGGAGCGCCTGGATCGCAATGAGCTGCGGTTGAACGGAGCGCTGAGTGAGACTGAATGCGTAATGATGAGAGAGGAGGAGGGGACCCAAGTATGGGCACATGGAAGGAAGCAGCAAAAGAATTAAGAGGAGAGAGAGCAGAATGTGTCAATCAATATTTAGTCCTGTGCATGTCATTCTCACATAAAGTAGCCTACAAACATGTTGCGCGTAAATGAATGCGCAACTCATACGTTACAAATAGCCTATAATGTGCGAATGTCGTTCACGATCGACTAGCCTTTTTAAAACAAATATTTAAAGTTTTTATATATATATATATAGGCCTACCACTTTTAAAATGCAACCATGCACCATCAAAACTTCAAACTCAGAATTAGCCAGGCATAATTTGGTTCCTAATGGGCAATTGGGCATTGAAGTAAATCGTTGGACCTCGCAGCTGGTTTGCACGATATTAGCCCCGTGTTACAATATAAACGTCTAAAAAATTTTTTACATAAATGTTTAAAACCTTGAAACCCCGCCCCTCCTTTTGTTTTGGTTTCTTCAGGGAGTTCCAGACAATGGGTTGATTTTATGCGCAGCCATTTTAAAATCGGATTGACGTTTAATGAGCGTTCACATTGCGATTCAACAATGCGACAGGATATTATTTAATTTAAAGGAGAGTTGGCGATTTCCAGTAACCGAGCAAAAAAAAAAAACAACAGCGATGAAAGTCGAGCAGCAGCTACCAATAGGAGTGCAAAGACCGACAGCGACCTGGCGACTTCCAGTGAACGAAAGGTAACGTTCGCCAGTAGGCCTGATCACTTTATTGTTTTATATATCAATGATATTGATATTGTACAACTTTAAAAGATTTTGGAAGTTGGTATAAACGAAGTGTGCCTTCAGAAGTTGAAGGTGAATTTATTTTCACCAAATTATGCCTGGCTAATTCTGAGTTTGAAGTTTTGATGGTGCATGGTTGCATTTTAGCAGCAACATGGCTGTAAAAATGAAACATTTTTCATACTTGGGCAATTAAACATTTAGTAATTAAACTGGATCAACACATACAAATATATTAAATATCAATATGTGATTCATTATCAGCACAGCCTTAGGTTGTAGGTTGTTCGTACAGTTGTCAATTTTGTCATAGTGTTTACAATTATGGATTTAGAGATGATATAATTTTTTTAATTAAATTAAATGCAAATTCTATCTAATCGAAATTTTCCCATTTGAGCCTCATTTTCATCCCAAAACAGTGGATTACTTTTCTGCACCCTGTAATGCAGTGCTGAGTGACATACCGCCAGTTATATCTCCCCTTGATGTTTTATGAATTTGTTTATTTGTCATATAACGTAGAATCATTTTTCGTGGGTCATTCTGGGAATTATGAACACATGATCTGTCTGAATACAGTTCACACTATTAAACTTGCCAGCTAAATATAATTGAGACTAATGCAGTGATAAGATTCAGCCAGTTCAGTCCATTCATTGTCAAGATGCAACTAGACCTTCAAACCACAGACAGACTTGCATATCTCAAAAGGGGTAATATAAATAAGTTGTATTGTGTTATATTCTGGTTTAATCCCTTGTTTTGTATGGTCTGTTACAGAATTATATGATCACTGAGACACAATCGGTCCTAATGGGCATTTGGCACGGCAAACAAGACCACAGCTCAGAATAATCTAATTACATACTGATGTAGATGAACAAGCAATCTGCATTGTCTTTGGGAGGACAAATAGACCTGCCTAAGGTGGCAGAAATTGTAATTTATGAAAGGAAAAAGAAGCACTAATGAAATTACATAAAACAAGGCTCGTGGCTCCTTTTCGAATATTCATGTTCTGAGCAAATACATAAAATCTCATGAAAACAGCAGAACTGTTGCAGAAATGAGGATTATCAGAATGCATGAGTCAATGAGGCCATCAGTAAAGTACTTGAGAGACACTAAGGGATCACTTGGTCTTGTTATTGCCATGGTAACCAGGTGCATAATGGCCTAATTTAATTTTCCAGGTCCTATTGACTTAGAAGAGTGATTTTCAAAACATACAGAAAGCCGGGGAAGAGTGCCGTCTTTCTGTTTTGTTTTTTTTCAACCCTTTTTTTCTTCTACAGCATGATGCTTAAAGTTGTAAAAAAAAGGACCGCTGAAGCTGAATGACGGTTTGCGCAAGAGATGCACCCCATTGTCTAAAGGTCAATACATAGTGAATTATCCCATTTATTCGGTCGTGCATCCCAGCAGGTTCTTTCTTTCTGGAGAGCACAGTATATGTCTTTCAGAAACTAAAATAGAGATTTTGTCAGCTATATTTTCATGCATAAAATAGCATCTATCTATCTATCTATCTATCTATCTATCTATCTATCTATCTATCTATCTATCTATCTATCTATCTATCTATCTATCTTCATTCATTATTCATTCATTCATTCATTCATTCATTCATTCATTCACTCATTCATTCGTTCATTTATTCACTCACTCACTCACCCATCCATCCATCCATTCACACGTGTGTGTGTGTGTGTGTGTGTGTATTTGATGACAGTGGGGCCCAGAAATCTTTGAACACTTTGAAAATTTAGAATTTGGAATGCAATTCTGGAAACAACATTTTAAAACGACCATTGTGATGTAAAAAGTACAGTCACTTTGGATAAAAGCATGCTATCTGAGTACATGTACATTACTGTAATAAGAATGATTTACAGTAATATTCTGCACAATTTCTAGGTCAGTAATCAAATAAGAACTAATACTACAACAAATAAGTGACTTTTTTTTGAAGACAGTCCGATATTGTTCTTCCATTGAAGCTTAAGATACTGTTCGTTCGGATCATTTTCAAATCATTCAGATCATCAGGTTTTATGTTCTTGTGAAGTTCATGGAGCTTGTGTTCTGCTACCACTAGAGGGACACAAGAGGGACAAACCAAATAAAGACATTCATGTTAATCTTTCAGTTCAACTTTTCAGTCAAATTGATAATGTGAATACAATTTGTAATGACAAATGTTGTATTGCATTAGGGAGAAATTCATTTTAAAGAGAAGTAATTTGGTTTCAGGGTGTTTACACGACAACGGTCCTACTAAAAACGGAAAAGTGTTTCCTTCGCGTTTTTCGTGTATAGACATATAGTCAAAATGATCCCTGTTCTCGCTGATCTGCGAAAATGACTAAAAACACTGTATTATGCATGCCAGGCCAGTAGTTGGCGACTACTGCAGTCGTTACTCTTTACAGCAGTCACTTTGTAAAGAAGTGCTACTATAGACTGAACTTGTAATTCGCATGCTTATGTCACAGTTTTCACAAATTCGCATTTTTGTAGTTGCACGACAACGGTGTCGTTTTCCAAAACTTTGAAACCAGTTCTCAAAAGTTTGCGTTTTCATGCCCCCCAAAACGCTGTTGTCGTTTAAATGAACGGCCAAAACGGATAAAAAGCTTTACGTTTTTGATTGCAAACGGTGTCGTGTAAACTTTTGGACCCCACTGTGTTTTTTTTACTGTGCCATTTGCATCCTCAGTTATTGATTTGTTTTTTTGTTTTTAGTCCTTTGTTATCACCATCACAATGAAGAGCCTTGATCATGCGTAAACTTACGCAAAGTTTGTCATAGATCATTTATTTTTGGAGCTGGTGTTAATCTGAAATTTTTTTAAAGCACCATCTGCCACCTGAGATATCTTGCTCATTTGCTTTTGATGTTAGTCCGAGCCACAGAAAGCTTCTTTATTTGCAATTGGCTGTCATGGGAATCATGTCTCTTTTCTCTTTGTATCTATAAAGACGGCTGTAAATAGTTCAGTCATTCCTCTGGGATTTTATCAAAGTTTATTTAGAGAGACAAATCTCTGCTCGAGTGTCTCGGAGAGAACAGCTGGCAGCTCCTGATCAGACCATTGCATTGAAAGAGCCCAGACTGCGTCACTTTGACTTAGGAAGAATAGCAATTGGCGAGCAATGAACCATCACGCTCAATTTAACATGTCAATACTTTACTTCTTGGCAAGACTGTTTTAGATGCGGCTGTATATCTTGAATGAATATAGTCACCGTAGGATTTATGGATTCTGGCTGCAGTAGAATAGAGCTGTGCGGCCCTGAGAAAAGGTCACCTGACTGATAAAACCAAATATTTAACAAGTTTTGAATCATTGTTCTCAGACAGTGTGTTCACAGACGTTGCTATATCAGTCATTCCATACATCAGTTTAAACCTCTTATATGCCTTCTGCTTAGGTTAATTCATTATAAAGTGTATTTATGCAAGTGTAAAACAGAGGGGAATTGAGCTATATTGTGAATGATATAAAGCTGCAGATTTGCAAAAGTTTGTAAGCAACTTAAATTTTCTTAGAAATACAGTCATTTATTGCCAAAAAATAGCACAAAAAAAATTTTCACGAGAGTAATTGAACAAAAAAGACGTAATTATTCCTTTTTTTTAAATATAAAATTTTTCAAATAAAGTTTTTAAATGTAAGCCTACATAGACCAAAGTTTTGCTTTGACACGTCAACCATGTCACAAAACATTTTCACACGCATACATTTTTTTCTATAATGATTGTATACTATATTATGGAAGCTTGTATCCGCCATTGAATAAAATAAATAAATAAATAATTGCGACTTTTTATCTCACAATTACGAGATATGAAGTCAGAATTATGAGAAATAAAGTCGCAATTGCGAGATATAAAGTCGCAATTCTGAGATATAAAGTCGCAATTCTGAGAAATAAAGTCGCAATTGCGAGATATAAAGTCGCAATTGTGAGATATAAAGTCGCAATTCTGAGAAATAAAGTCGCAATTGCGAGAAAAAAAGACAGAATTGCGACTTTTTATCTCACAATTCTGACTTTTTTTCTCACAATTGCGAGTTTACATCTCACAATTCTGACTTTATAACACATAATTGCGAGTTTAGATCTCGAAATTCTGACATCTTTTCTCAGATTTGTGAGATATAAACTCGCAATTGCGAGTTATCAGGCCAATTCTAAG